CAAATCTGACAGTTCAAGCGCTAGCCAATCAAACCGCGTGCAAACTGGGAGAGCCAGTTTATTTCCTCATATTCCAAACGAGAAATTACGGTAGCAAATCACCCGGTTCTTTACGACCAGAACTATTTACCGGGATACAAACCGGAAGAACCAGGCATGGAGGGAGGTGGCAGAGACAGTGGGTGAAACTGGTAGGTTTTCGCCTGTTTGGGGAGTTTATATATATATATATATATATATATATATTGCTCGCATAAAATCCCTGGGGTTTTTTGCTTTGTATGCCGGGGGCGGGACATTCATGTGATTGGTTGTTGGTCGCGGTGCTCCAATAAAATCCCCAAGCTTCAGACACGCCCAGCTCCAAGCTTTTTTTGAAGCTGTAATGTGGACGGGCCGTTAGGCTTTTTAAACATGTTCGTGATTCTCTTACGTCAAGCCTCCCAGTCCGATAGAGGTGAAGAAGTTGATGGCAAAGCGAGTGTTTCTGGGATTATCTCGAGGGAAAAGACCTTCAAAGAACGGCTGCAGAGTCCTGAAACACAAACACACAGGTTTCTGATTATCATCATGGTTGTGTCTTATATTCTTCAGAAATGTATGCACACACTCTCCAATCTGTGTTTTGATGTTCACCTCAAACCAGTCAATGGACCTATATCCTACTAACAGACCAATGCATCGGCCAATCACACAGTTCATTTCCCAATTTGCCAAATGTAATGTTTTTTCTCTGATCTTCAGTCCTTAAAATATGCACGTTGATATTAAAGCTATGTTTTTAACATTACTATTGGCTATCTTTATTAGTGGTCAAAAACTGATAAATGACTCTCTAATGCTATAAGGAATATACTGTCCATTACCGCATTGGACAGCCATTTATCATTTAAAAAAAGAAAATGATCTCATGTTTAATTCAGTGTTTGTGTTGATGTGTGCGTGTTTGTGTATGTGCGTGTTTGTGTGTGTGCGTGTTTGTGTGTGTGCGTGTTTGTGTTCGTACGCGTCTTTGAGCCTCTGGTTGAGTCGGGGGAGGCCCATGTAGGCACAGAGCTCCTGGAAAAGGATCTTCACAAAGATCCTGCTGGACGACGTCGTGGTCTCCTCACTCATCCTGACACACTCCAACACCTGGAGAGAGAGCAGGGATTATGAGGAAACTCAATCAAATAGCTAAGTGTTTGTTTCAACTGAGTTTGGTCAGACTAGAAAGCATTTTGTGTGTGTGTGTGTGTTCTTACACTCCAGGGCACTGAGTCTGTGTAGAGCAGGTGAGCGAACAGTCGAGCCACGTTCCTCAGTTTGTTGGTCTCCAGTCGGTGAATCGTGTCGTACTGCTCCGCAAAAATCCCCTCAAAACTCTCCATGTACTCCTTCTTCAGCAGACAGAATCTCTATGAACACACGCACACACAGTTAACTAGTGTTTTCAATTTAGAGAGTTGTGATGTTGCACTAGACTCCCGTAGTTACTCCTCACATAAATGGAGATGGAAAACACAAACAGAGAGATCCGAAAAGTGAGTCTTAGTCAACACTTTTTGTTCTTTCCTAGGCCTGATATTTAATTCAGTGTGACATGTGCACGTAGTAATAATAGCTAATGTGGTGGGCTGTCATATACGTGTTTATGTGTTTCTCACCCCGGCCAGGAGACCAAAGAACTTCTCGTAGGTCCTCTGTTGAGCGCAGCAGTCCAGGATCATGTTACACAGCTCTTTCTGTTCACACAAAGATAAAACATTTCATTAAAACAAAACATACATTTATGGAAAATCACATATTAAAGTTAAAATCATGTCTATCAGACTGAACATCTGAACAGAGGTTTAAAAACAGTAGTTGAACAACAGTCCTTTAAGAACCAT